GCTTCTTTTCCAGAGTTTTTCGAACATGTGCATTTTTAAATAATCGCTCCAACCTTTTTGTTATAAAATGCTTCGTGTTTATATTTTTGAAAACTAATATTTTATTCGTTATCAACCAAAAATCGATTTTTCATTGAAAAAAAACTTAACATTACCTTTCCAAAAATATAGCTTAATTGATATTTTGTACAAGTTTTCGTGAAAAACGCGCCACTATGCCACGGTAATATACACTCGGAGACTAAACGTTGTAAAATTAAAAAGAAAAACGCTAACGATTTGATAAAAATTAGATATAATTTTGCTTCATTGTTTCTTTTTAGTAAATCAAGAAGGCGCTATATTATTTTATAATGTCTTCTTTAAACTAACATGTGTATAATAATTTGTAGTGCTAATTCCTATTAAAAGAAAAGTATTGTCTGCATTTGGATTGAAAAGAACACCATTCAAATTATAATTAACAGGTATTAAAAATAAGCATCACAAAATATTTTTTTAGATTGTTAAAATAACAATTTAAACATGTTATAGATTTAAAACAAAGAGGTCATATAAATTGTATCGCTGTCGTTAGACTAAAAATTCCTATTTTTTAGTTTTACTCAAATGCAACATTAATGTAACAAACACGAAACAAAATACAATATTTTTATTGGAATCAAATTTGCCCTACTTTGAGTTAATACACTGACCAGCAAAAAAATTAGGGCACTCAAATTACAATTTTTTTTGGGAGAAAAAGTTTATCACTGAATCGTCGATCTAGTAGGTGGTAAATTATCTATAAGTGGTAAATTTTCTATCCAACTCTATTTTTATAACTGAATTCAACATTTAATCGGAAAATCTTGTTGATTTTCAACAGGAAAGCAGAAAATCCCTATTATAGATAGTGATTTTTTATTTGTAACTATTGGTAATGACTAACAATTAGAATATTGGAGAAAACCTGAAAATTAATGACTTGTTTTTGTGTTTTTGTGCTTGTAATTACCGAGGCATGCTTTGAATTAAGTCGATGTTGTTCCATTCCTGCATTAGCAACTCTGTCAGCTCTTGAACGCTTCTTCGAATATGTCGTCCCATCTCATCCCACACGATGGGATTCATGTCTGAACTGAGTGCTGGCCAATCAAACGCCTCATTCCCTGCTCATCCAGATATTGACTGACAATTCTGGCGGTGTGGGGTCTAGCGTTATTGTTCATGAAAATGCCATCTTCGCTCAGTGATCATCCATGATTTTCGAAATGTGAGCTATTAGAGAGCCATTCTGTATGAAGACCAACTCTGTGTGTGCCCTAACCAGAACCGAACCACCACCATACGCAAGTGTTTCTTGAATACAACCTGGGGCATATCTTTCTCAGGGTCTCCTCATACTCTCCGACGACTTTACTTAGGTTTAGGTAATAAAATATATTTTATTAAGAATATATGCTAGATATACATTGCTTGCTTGTTTACTTCCAGCAATTTAAAAACTACTAACTACTCTGAAAAGATGAAGGACCGCGCAGACGCTAATAGCGTATGTGTCCCTATCCTATTGGCTGTTAAAAGTCACATAACAGCAGACCCTATTTTCTTTTTAAAATGTTTAAGAAATCTTTTAGAAGTAAAAACTGATCGCCCTTCAAATATGAGTTTGATTAATGCAGTCATCTTATTATTAGAAGAGAACAGAAAAACGTCATTTTGTAATAAGCAAGTAATAAGTTGTTTTGAATGTAATGGCGTTTAAAACAAATATGCAATACATTAAATATAGGAAATAAGAAAATCATTTATGTTTTAAAGTGACTAATGTAATAATTTATAAACAAATCAAAGTCAAAATATTAGTTAAATTGTAGCAAAGAGTTAACTTATTACAAGATGATTCCTTATGCATTTTAAAACGCTTTTTCTCTGAGTGTAGAAGGCAAATGCGTGGGCAAATTGTGATTTTGGTCGTAAAGACGCTAGATTTTGGTTTAACGTTTTTAATTAAATTTTGAGAATCAACGGGAAAGTTGCATTTTTGTAAGAACCACTTGCAATTTGCAATTTTCTGGTGCTGTGTGGCATGTACGTGTTTTTTTTCTAATTCACCTAACCTTAGTTCTTCTTAGTTTTGTTATGATCTTTCATATTTACGTTGTAAAATTATTTTTAGCGACTTGTAAAATCCTTATCGCAAGTTTATGTATAGCTTTTTGGCCAATTCTGAATCTGATTGATATTATTTAGATTGCTTCGCAATCTTCTGAAAATGTTATAATACACATTGCTTGCTTTCTCTGTATTCTTTTCGACTTTGTTAAAACAAACTACAATATCCCATTTACTTGAAAACTAACCGAAACTACTAACCCAGTGCGCAGTTTCCGGTATTATGGCAGCTCCGTCCAAAACCTACTTGTTCAAATATTAAGTGTACTATATTTTTGGAAAGGGATTTTCAAGTACTTTTCCATGACTCCGTGTTTGTCTATCTCCTATAGAAAGGATATTTCTCTTATCTTGTAACTAGAATGTTTCAGAAAATATCGGTAATCTTTTGAATTTAAAATTTTATTTTTACAGAGCTCTAACCTCCAAAGTAGCTGCTTAAGAAAGTTTTGTTTGAATAAATGTTGGATTAGTTACCGAATAAAAAAAAAATGTGAAGTTCTTTAAAACGTATCTTTCAAAATGTGGGTTTTCAGTTTATCAAGTTATCAAGTCAAGTCGCTTAACCCTTCTATTTTAACGCCCTGTGTGGTTTACCACCGATAAATGAAAAGAGAAACAAAATAACCAAAAGAACCGCACTGAATATAGTAAATAACATGGACCACTTCTTTATTTTTCACTTCAACTGCGCAAATTACGAACGCCATTGAAAGCACGCAAAACTTTTTATTGTTTATTCCAAAAATTTTAAAATATTGGTGTGGGACGCTTCCACATTTTGAACAACTTGAACAGCCAATTTTTTTGGTGTTTCATTTAAATTTCGAAAGTTCTATCACATTTTTCAGGTACCAGCGTCACCGAAAAATGGCCAATTAAGGTAGTTTTCCAATTAAAAGTTTAAAAATTGCTTAGTGTAATTTGATTGTTTGATGATGAATGTGCGCCTCGAATATAAAATCTATATTAGCTACAAAAATTTTTATATCCTATTTTAGGTTAGAAATAAGAATTTTATAAGAAAGGAATATGGAAATTTTCGTATGTCAAAAAATAACTTTTTCTTTTCATTTCTATTTCTGGTAAGCTAAGGGATATCATAGTTAAATTCAGCAAAAATAAATGCCACAATCTTCAACTTAACCGTTACCGTAGATATTTTAAGCCCCGGGGTAAGCCATTTAAGTCAATATAAAAATGAAACGCAATTGCAGTGTCTTTTGCTCATGCGTCCGACAATTCGCAACAAGAGCGATGCTAGAAGCGACTTTGCTGACTTCTACTCAAAAATGATCACAAGTTGTTTATTTTTCGACTGCAAAAAAGCTTTGGAGAGTTTGTTATTATTCTTAATAAATCCAAAGCTTATTTTTTGAGAATTTTTATATAATTCTGTAAGTGATGTAAAATCAAAATAAATAAGAACTAAAAGTTCAGATTTTCACGAAATTATATATTTTTACATGACAATTGTTCCGACAACACCGTGTCTTTATCAAATGTAATGTTTACAAACTACCTGCTACTACTACTGCAGTAAACTCTTTTATCCGAAACCTAATACAGAACAGAAACAATTTAAAACAATTACTTACATAGTAGAACCCAGCGAAAGTTTCAAAACATTTGTCAAAATGTGGTTTAAAAATAGCTTTCAGAACTAACAACACAATAGCAAAATTTTTAAAAAACAATAAAACGAAATGTCCAAAATCTCAAAAATCAGGTGTCTACAGGTTGAAATGCGGATCTTGTCCTAAAATTTATATTGGACAAACAGGTAAATTCTTCAAGAAATGCATTAACGAACAAAAAAGAGCGTTTAAAAACAATAGTCTAGATTCTAATTATGCTACACACTTAAACACAAAAAAACACATTTTTGATGACAATTTTGATATTTTACATAAAGCCACGAAAAGTTCTTATTTATTTTGATAAATACAATCATAATGTTTTAAATAGTATATCTGAAAATTCGGTATGTTATCAAAAAAAAAAAACATTTTTTAATTATAATAGGTAATAAAGAAATATTAATAAGAAAATTAATATATCGAACTTCTCGTTCCATATACGGCTTGAAAATACTTTGCCCGATTTGTACGCCGTATTTTCTCTGGCAACAACCCCTTTAAACAAAACACCTCGCTGTCGGTTCCGTCTAATGGTCCCACGTCACTATAAAACTCCTTCCCGCCGAAGTGTTGTTACGAAAAGTTTTCTCCAAAAACGTTGTCATCGGAAATCCATCTTCTCGTCTCCTTGAGATTCGCCTCGGAGAAAAAGCTCCCTCATCGGAGCGGCGGCGGCGTCTATTCTTGAAGAGGTTTTTCTTTCAGTCCTGATGGCTGCTTAGCTTCGAGCCAGAACCGGATTAGGTTTTTAATTTATACGACAAATGGTTCGCGACATTTTGCGTAAAATTTAATTTCAAACTCTTAATGGAAATTTTCTTTACCGGTTAAGTCGACGTCGAATTCAATAAATAACGACTTTTATTTGCCCGAGATTGCGCCTGGTTAATTCGATATTGGTGCGATAATAATAATGGTACCCTAGGGGTAAATCACGTATGTGTGAATCTTTGTTATCTGCGAGATCCGTGAAATCTTTATGAAATCATAATGCATTTCTATAATATCGAGTTTTAAGCACTTTCCGTTAGTTAAATTCTTCGTCTTTAAATAATAAACAAATTAATCTAAAAAAGTTCCAGTACGTGATCCAATAGCTATTTTTACGTTATTTATAGATTGCGTCTAAGGTGTGTGTAAGAAACTCAATGTTTCCTAGACTTCCTTTTAGAAGCCGCGTGTGGAATACAAGTTCATCGAAATAAATTCTTAATTTAAAATTTGATCACAAACAAAACAAAACTACGGATAAACCCTCGAATTATAAAATAAACGGCCTACCTTATGTGCACTCTAGTGTAAGACCCCCGAGACCTCTCGGATTTTCTTTCTCCACACCATGTCCATTGCAGCAATGTAGTGGGGGTTACCAATCGCAAACACGCGAAAACTATGCGCGGTAATTCGGCCAAACAAAACCCGAGGGCTCATATTATCGCGGTGAAATGACACGCGTTTTTTACCATAAAGTATATAAAAAATTAAATTAAATAAAAATTGATAAATGTATTCGATTAACCCCGAATCATAAAGAAATCAATATATAGAAAACCCAGGTAATGAATTAATATTTAGTGTCAATATACAAAATAAATAACCAAAACTGAACATACCGCCCACCAAATACAACGGTATTTCAAAAAACAACAAAAAAAAAAAAGAAAATAAACAAAATATGCTAATATTAAAGTTTATCAATTGTGATTAATTGGCCGGCAGAGGACATACCTTAATAACCGGTCGTTTGATTAAACCGGTTTGGGTTCTGACAGTGACTACTCGTGGAACACCGTCAGCACCAGGGTGAATGGAATCAATCCGTCCCAGTCTCCACTGGAGGGGAGGTAAATTATCCTCCTTCAGTACAACTAGAGTACCCGGCGTGATAAGAGTGGTATCTTTATCCCATTTAGCTCTCTGTTGTAAAGAATGAAGATATTCCATATGCCATCTTTTCCAAAATGATTGATGCATTTTGGTCAGTAACTGCCACCTATCAAGTCTATTCATAGGAACACAAGTGAGGTCGTGATCGGGAATAGCTGATAGAGCTAAGGAGAGAAAATGACCTGGTGTTAAACTGGATAGATCGTTGGGATCACTACTCATAGCGCAAAGTGGTCTAGAGTTGAGTACGGCCTCAACTTGAGTGAGAACTGTGTAAAATTCTTCATAGGTAAGTAATTGTTCCCCTATGATTTTAGTAATGTGGGTTTTGACGCTTTTAATGCCAGCTTCGTGTAACCCACCAAAGTGAGGCGCTGAAGGAGGGAAAAATTGCCACTCGATTAATTCCTCAGCGGCTGCGTTAGCCATGCAATCTGCTAAGTATCGAGCTGCACCAACGTAGTTGGTACCGTTATCACTGTGCAGTTTGGAGCATCTACCACGTCGACTGATGAAGCGACGCAATGACGCAAGAAAGGCAGAAGTGGATAGGTCTGATACCAGTTCCAAATGCAGGCACTTTGTAGAACAACACACAAAGAGAGATAGATAAGCCTTTTGAGTACGGCAACCTCTATGTCTTGACATCAGTATCTGAAAAGGGCCACCGAAATCCAAAGAAGTACATTGAAAGGGCTTGGCTTGGGTAATGCGGAAACTAGGCAAATCGCCCATTTTTGGTTCTATTACCTGAGGATGTGTTCGAAAGCAGCGGAAACACTTATGGACAATACGTTTTATAGCACCCAAAATCCAAAACCGTTGAGATATAAAATAGCGCAAGGCCTGCTGTCCACAGTGAAGGTATCTTTTATGAAAATCCTCTATTATAAGATCAGTCAACCTATGTTTGTTGGGAAGCAAAACGGGATGCTTTTGATCGTAATCAAGTTGAGAGTGCGTAAGGCGTCCGCCTACCCTGAGAAGTCCTTGTTCATCGATGAAAGGAGCAAGCTTTCTTAACGGCTTGGAACAAACACTCTTGTTCGAAAGATTGGAAATGTCTTCATAAAAGGCTTCTGCTTGTACTTGCTTCACAATGCGGAGAAGACTCTGAAATAACTCGTACTCCGTGAAAGGACCCCTTTTAACCACTGAAACCACTTTAAAACGAATGCCAAGAAAATGACGCCAATAAGTAATAAGGCGAAGTATTTTCTGTAAGCATGAATACCTATTCAAAATATCACCAACAGGATTATAGCCTTTTATTACCGTGAGAATGGTCGCTCTTTCTTCTGGTAGTGGTTCGTCCAATTCACCAAGTTCGTGTTTGGGCCACTCTTCGGAGGGACGCGACAACCAAGCTGGTCCCGCCCACCATAAGGGACAGTCAACTAAATCAGACGGAAGGACAGGGCGACTCGCAAGGTCAGCTGGATTGTCTTCTGATTTGATGTGAAACCAACGTTCAGGTGCTACATTGTCTTGAATCTGACTCACCCTGTTTGAGACGAAAGTGCGCCAACGACAGGGCGGTGACCTTATCCAACCTAGGACTATAGTCGAGTCAGACCAAGCATAAATATTTTGTACGTCGGGAATGTTGTAGACATTTAAGGCATATTTAAGCAATTTGGAAGCCATTAATGCAGCACTTAATTCCAATTTAGGAAGACTCAATCTCTTCAATGGAGATACTTTACTCTTAGCATAGAGGAGATAAGTAGAAATTTGGCCATCTGGAGATACGAGGCGAGAATAGATACAACTTCCATAACCTAGCTCTGAAGCATCCCCAAAAGCATGGAATTCTAAACTAACATACTTTGAAATAAAACAATAACGGGGTATTTCTAATGCTGACAGACTTGGCAATTCATTTTTGTAGTCGGTCCACCTTTGGGCAATATCTGCGGGCACTTCACTGTCCCAGTCGATACCTCTCGCCCATAAAGATTGCATTAGCTGCTTAACTAATAGAGTTATGGGACAAAGTAATCCAATTGGATCAAAAATTCTGGAGATTTCAGAAAGTATAGATCTCTTAGTACATGTCGAGTTGAGAAATTGTATGTCGTATGAGAAGATATCCTTCTCTGGAGACCATCTGAGACCCAAAACCTTCAAGTAAGGATCGGATTTAGTGTCAAGTGCGAGAGGTTTCTGTAGAATATCTGAAGGTATAGTAGATAAGAAGTCAACACAATTGCTAGACCATTTTCTAAGGAAAAAACAACCCTCATCCAATAGAGCAATAAGTTGTTGTTTGATATCCACAGCATCCTCTAAAGATTTACAAGATACACATATATCATCAACATACACTTGGGACGCTAAAATTGCTGCGGCCCTAGGAAATCTATCTCTACCCTCGGTGGCTAATTGTAAAAGACATCTCAGAGCAAGGAAAGGAGCTGAATTTAATCCGTAGGTTACGGTTTTTCGGCGAAAATCTTGAACAGGTTCTCGAGGGGAGAATCTCCATAAAATACGTTGGTAGTCTTGGTGGCTGTCATTAACAAGTATTTGTCGATACATCATTTTGATATCGGCAGTAAATGCTACAGGAAACCTTCGAAAACTTAACAGAATACTTACAATTTATTTTGTAGTTTGGGACCAATCAACAAAGTGTCATTCAACGATCGATCCCGCGGACTGCAAGATGCGTCAAAGACTACGCGCAATGCAGTAGTCGTACTATTCGAATTAGTAACCCCATGGTGAGGGATGTAGAAGTGGCGCTGGGCAACGTCAGAGACAGGAGCAGACACGGGTTCCATATGATCCAGCTCTAAGTATTCCTTCATAAATTTGGAATATATCTCAAATAATGGAGGATCCTTAAGAAAACGGCGCTCTAAGCTATAAAACCTTTTTAGGGCTATGGAGCGTGAGTCAGAAAACTGGAAAACGGTAGAGTAACGATAAAACGTCCTTCAGGAGTTCGAGAATGAGTCTCGTTAAAAGAAATTTCAGTGGGATCGTCAAGGGTTAATGAAGTCTTGCTACTTGGAACTTCCTCCATTTCCCAAAACATTTGAAGAGTTTTATTAATATCCCGGTTTTCTTCCAATAGTGTGCAACAGGAATATGAGGACTTGCTTTTTATACGATCAATTTTACCCATCACTACCCAGCCAAATAATGTATTGAATGCGACAGGTTCCAACTCTTTACCGCACACCTTCTCAGGCAACAAAATTAAAGGGAATAACTCGCACCCGAAGAGAGCATCTATAGGTCCAGGAGTATTGTAGGTGTCATCAGAAACGACTAAATTCTCCAAATGTGACCAGTTCTCGCGACTGAAAGATACAGAAGGCATGTAAGAGCAAATCTGCGGTAAAACGATACATTCTATGGGAAAAGAAGGTGTGTTCTTACCCACCGGGCGGACCGTACAACAAGTAACACCATTCGACGATACAGATGTCATATTACCTAACCCATTAATTGGAATGTTCAAACGAGAGCGGGAAAGTCCTAATTTCTTAAAGCATCTTTCGGATATAAAATTGCCTTGGCTTCCGCTGTCCAGTAGTACTCTAACTGTGTGGGAATAACCTTGGCTGTCCAGAAAATCCACTTTTGCAGTCGCAAGGAGCGTAAATGCACTATTAGAATTTATGGAAGTGGTGCCACAATGTGGTTGATCTACGGAAGAGTCATTAGCACTGGGCAAAACATCGTCATTAGGTGGACTACGTTCATTACCATGTGCCGACTCGAAATGTAGTAAAGAATGATGGCGTTTCGTACAAGAAGAACAGGTCTTATTAGAACTGCATTTCGAAAATTTGTGAAACGAACTCAAACAATTCACACACAAACGGTTGCGTTTAACTAGTAAATAGCGCTCATGAGGAGTCTTACTTAAAAAGACGGAGCAGTTTATAATGGAATGCTGGGTCCTACAGATACCACAATTCAATGTAGGAACGTTATTAGAAGGAGTATTAGTAAAAAATGCTTTGGAGTGATCACCATTATTCCTAGAACCTGACTTATGTTGACGGTTACTGGCAAAAGACTTACTATTATAAATGGTTCCGGCATTTTTTGATTTATTTTCTTCCTGAGTATAGGTCAACGTATCTAAAACCTTACACCTGTTATTCAGAAATAATTTCAACTGCGCAAAAGTGGGTATATCAAATTTTGCGTGCTCCATTTCAAATCGCTGTAAGGTATCAGAATCGATGTTCATTAAGAGTAAATTAAAAAGCAAAAAATCCCATTCCGCAGTAGGAAAGTTCAATAATTTTAATGCCTCCACATTTTCACAAAACTTATCAACAACATTACGCAGTGCTTGATTCGATGGATTTGAAATTTTGGAAATGTTCATTATTTCATTGAAGTAATGAGTCGATAAAAGCCGTTTATTGTCGTATCTTTTTATTAAAGTATCGTAGGCTACTGCGTAATTGTCATCAGTTATAGGAATATTTCTCAATAAACTGAGCGGTTCTCCGGTTACGAGAGTAAGCAGTAATTGAAATTTTTGTGAAGCGGAAAAGTTCATATTATGCACCGAACTCCTGTATAAATCAAAAAATGTCGGCCACTGTTTTAAATTGCCTGAGAAAACAGGTATATCTAAACGGGGAAGATTAAAATTTAGGTAAGGCGGCAAATTATGGCTCTGGCCTGGTGGCGAAGGTGGTACCATCATGGATATTTCAGATTTTATACAAAGTTCACTATAAATGCTTTTAATTGAAAAGTATTGATCATCAACTTCCGCTCGAATTAGCTCCTGCTGCTCAAGCATTACATCCGTTACTCTTTTATCAGAAATTATGTCCAAATGCAACCTATCAAACTCATTATATGTTGATTCTAACGCCGAATATCGTATTTTAAAATCATTAATTTTAGCTGGGTTCTGTGTAGCAGCAGTAGCTAAATCGTAGATTTCTTTCAATCTTTGTATAAAAACGCTTCTTCTATTTACTTTTGAATCTGCCATGGTTTAAAAATATTTTTAGAAATTTTCTATATCATAAAAAAATGGCAAGAAAGAAGAAATTAAATTCAATTATATTAAAATATGCGAACAACCTCGTAAAATCCACCAAAACCACAATTGATAACAAAAAACAATCAAAATATCGTACACAAAATCAAGACCGCAAAAAACTCTAAACGATTTAAATTCTTTACCTGTTTTCCGATACTTCGTCAAATTTATTCAAGGTCGTCTTATTTAAACGCCTTTATAGTGAATGAAATCAAAATTATTTTTACCAATTTAGTATTAGAAAATGAATTTAGAAAAGACAAAATAATTTTATTTTTGAATTACTGATTCTTTAAAAATCCGGGCTCGAAGACCATATATATGTAAGAAACTCAATGTTTCCTAGACTTCCTTTTAGAAGCCGCGTGTGGAATACAAGTTCATCGAAATAAATTCTTAATTTAAAATTTGATCACAAACAAAACAAAACTACGGATAAACCCTCGAATTATAAAATAAACGGCCTACCTTATATGCACTCTAGTGTAAGACCCCCGAGACCTCTCGGATTTTCTTTCTCCACACCATGTCCATTGCAGCAATGTAGTGGGGGTTACCAATCGCAAACACGCGAAAACTATGCGCGGTAATTCGGCCAAACAAAACCCGAGGGCTCATATTATCGCGGTGAAATGACACGCGTTTTTTACCATAAAGTATATAAAAAATTAAATTAAATAAAAATTGATAAATGTATTCGATTAACCCCGAATCATAAAGAAATCAATATATAGAAAACCCAGGTAATGAATTAATATTTAGTGTCAATATACAAAATAAATAACCAAAACTGAACAGTGTGGTAATATTTTCTCTACTTTTTTTTCTATGAATTTAATTGTACTAACTAATCAAAACTAAATATGTTTAACTTAATTACTTAATTATGTATTTTTAAACTTATCGGCTGCGATTCTTTGTTGTATCTATTATATCTTTTCCTCGGCATCAATAACTTTCCGCAAGTTGATAAACCAATATATTGACTGATGGTGATGGATATATTAATCACATTTTTTTTTTAAATCTTTGTTGTTACCGCTGTTTGGAATTTATTAAACAATGATAAACAAAAAATACGTTATTACAAACAGGTATAATGCCCACTAGACTCCCGATTTATTTTTTAAGCAATTTGAAAAAGAAACGGAAAAACTCATACTGACTGAATAGTAGTCTAGTCGAATTTTCACAATCTAGATACTCATATAAGAACGAAAATCTCGACAAGTCACCATAAATGCCCGTGAGCAAAAATTTTTGCTTTTAATTGTGATTTTCTGAATTTAAGATCCTATTTTTTTTTAATCCACATTTCGAGTTGTAGAGTGTCATACGTGCATATTTTTCCTATTGTTATTGTCCCCTCAATTATCAGTCTTCATATCATTTTCCGATAAATCGTTGTTGTTAACTTTGTTTTTTTTTATTTCATGTTGATTTTTGTTAAAGTAAATTGAAACAAATAAGTTTCTTTATTATTAAACGCTTAGAAATCTGCAGTCAACATAAGCAAACCCTATTGAAGCAGTTGCCTTATCACTAGTTTGGCGATAGAATGTGTGTTAATAAAAAAACGACTCTAGTAAATCACATTGTATCTAAGCAGTTGTCAGACGACTTATTTTTATTAATATATCAAGCATTTTTCAGACGATTTTGTTTGAATTTTATATTGTTTTGTTTTATATTGCATAGTTTTATAAAGTGGGGAACTAACAGTTTTTGTTTCAATTTTTTAAAATATTTAGGCGTTGATAATTTAACTTAAAACAGACAACATTGAAAGTTTAAATTAAATAAATGTATATGTATTAGTACGTTGTCTGGTTTTGTGGAAAATTCTGAGTAACTTTTGTATTGCCTTTCATTCTGAGCATTTTTTTTTCTAAGGTAAGGGAGAGAAATATAAACTAAACGATAATTATGATTCACCTTATTAAGACGTATTTTACCGACAAAATTAGGCTTTTAAGGCTTTTTTCAAAATAAATTCGTTTTGTAAAAAGCACCTGGCATCTATGCTCTATATGTTATTTCTCCTAGTACTTTTTCTGTTTGTGTTAGTTTCCTGATCTCACTAAATGCAAGCGTTTCACCTATGGATTGGAATGTAAAAACGTTTACAAAATGGTCGTACCTATCTTAGTATGCCACCATGTTTAGTATAGAAATATTTTCAGCCTAAACAAAAAAAATGGATATTAATATCCCTTCATAAATAAATTTGGTGTTCGATTATGAAAGCGGCAATGATTTCGTTGAAGCAGAAGTGGGGAATGGCCTCGTTCCGTTTAATATTCCCTACGCAGCATTTCTACCATTCCATAACGTCCTAACCAAGGCGAGCCACTTTATGAATAAACAAAGAGGAATCTTGATACGTCGATCCCTTATTGGAAAGAGAATCGCATTTACAGCTTCACAGTTTCCTCTTTTGCATGCGAAATCCATTACGCGTTCGCCATAATCTACTTCTCGCTATTGATCTCCATAATTTTCTCTTTATTAGAAGTCGCGTCGAGCGAAAAGGATTTTTATCAGTTTATCACCGGTGGTCAGATACATTTAACACATACGCACACTTAAATGGTATATCGCCATCTCTATCTCTATGTCCGTCGTCCATCTTCTCTTCAACCTATCCACGATCCCTTATTGTTAGTTACGTTAAAACAATTTCGCTGTTGATTTTAATCTAGTTTGGAATAAATGTCCATTATTTAATTTTAGTTTTATTTTAGAATTTTGAAGGAGTGTCTTTACTGCAAAACACCTTACTATTAGCCTTTGCATCTGGAACCTACATTTAAGGGTATCTTGCCTGAAAAGAGTTTTAATAGCATTTATGGAGGGTCTGCTTAAAAACGAATACATTTTGCTTCATTTAGTTTGAATTGAGTATTGGAATCTCGATAGGAAATGTCAAACGGCAGAATCGTGAATAATAAATGTACACATGTACACATCTGGACTATCATTAGGGACAGTGATTAATGTCTACCGATGATTTTCGTAGTCGCCGTCTTGTTTTCAAAAGGTTTTTTTTTATTTAAAAGGATGCGCGATTGGGTTTGGCACTCCGTCAATTACAATCTACAAAAATAAATTGAGTTTTGATAGAGCTGTCAAGTAATGTTTATTAAAGAAAAAAATTAATAAAATTAAAGCCAACAAAGGTGATATATATTGTTATTCCTGGGTTAATTTTATTGTAATTCCTACGCTGTTTTAATACTGATGTGTTTTTTTGTTAAATCAGACCTTAAAATCAATAATATTCAATCTTTAAGTAATGTGTAACATTAATACCTGGGTGACCAAGACTTTTTGAACAGAAATGTCCAAACAAAGTTTTTTAGTTTTGATATTTTTTACCGAGCCATTTGCATTCCAGCGTAACACTCATATGATTTTTATCTGCCACTACAAATGCGTGGGGTTATTCCCATAATTAAAACGCAGAATATTACAACTCTCAAACTGGGACCAATCAATACTCTTCTCTACTGACTACTTCCTAAAATCCCGCAATGGCCGAACTTACATTGAGTCACGTTACTTGCTGCTTTTGGTTTCAACCTGCCTTGTCAAACAACACTGGTTGAATAAATAAATACATTTAATAAATCTTCTGTTTTTGTTTCTATTTTTTCGAATATTTTCTGAACTATTCGAGAATTTTGCTGCAGAATGTTAGACAGTAAAATCAGGAAATTTACCTCAGTTTATTGATCCCCGTATCTTTTATAGTTTGCGAGGCCCATGGTGGAGATCGAATTTGAATTATCCTGTTAGCCATATGGATTGAATAACTTAGGGATGAATTAGCCCAATGCAATGTTTAAGGAAAAAGCTGAATCAAGTTAATTTTGCGTTCTTATGAAAATTTGTCCATTTTTTCAGTAAAGTTACGGCTATGTGGCAACTCAGGTACACCTTATCTAGGAGAATATCATAGCCACCTGTGGCGCATCACTTTTTACAGTAGTAGGGCCACTATATTATCTTCTAGGTTTATGGTTACTCCTAAATAGATATTAGATAATATAGTGGTCCTACTACGATAACAATTGGTGCACAGCAGGCGTCCAAAAATGTGATGATAATCTACAATTTACGCCATTTTATTTCTAAATAGCGATAATCTACAATTTACGCCATTTTCTTTCTAAATAGTGATTTTCCCAGACTTGGCTCCTTTTTGAATTAAGAGGTGGTGTTTGTTTTGTTTTATCAACCGGTCTTTGATCAAATAGAACGCTTACCATACATGTGACTTATTCTTCATCCGTTCTCTTCTTCCTCTAGCTGTCAACCGTCAGTTACAATTACAAGAATACTACATATGCATGCATGCGCGGGATATCATTCCTATCTTTATTAAAATATCACTGCCTTCTGCGGCGCATCAATTTTTATTACATATATTATCTAATAGCTACATGGTTGTACCCATATAGCTATTAGATAATATAGTGGCCTTACTACGTTAAAAAGTGATGCGGCGCAGGTGACTATGATATTCTCGTAGAGAAGGCGTGGATCGTATGCGCATGCTTCCCGGCCAACTAAGTTGTCACATTACCGTAATTTTTCTGAAAAAACTGACCAATTTTCATAAAAACGCAAAATCAGTCAGAAAATCAGAATATAATTCGCAATGCCGAGCTAGGAATTCCTATTGCCAGAGAATGATAACAGTCTGTGACATTGTTGTTTACCTTTTATGGTTTTTGTGATTCTTTGCATCCCTTTTTCGTGTTTTTGTGAAAAACTTGTGATTGTGGTCAAAACTAAGGAAAAGAATGTGCCTATATACGGGTAAGTGTTGCCTTATGTACAAGTTAATTTAAAAATTTTTAAATTGGTTTCTATAGGACTTCGACTCACAAACTTGTATAATTGGTGCTTTCAATACTTGCTTCTTCATGAAATTACAAGTGTGG